AGAGAATAGTGTGTCATCTTTGTCCTTTCTGGGCAGGTGAATAAAATCACTGAATTATCTTTGTTTCCAAGCCTGTATCAGGTATCTGTTGTTTACTAGAAATACATATTTAGCTGGAAGTGTAAGTCTAACACCTACTGTTTAAAGAAGATCAGGGCTGCAAGCATGCTAACATTAGAAGATGTTGAAGTTAATATTGCCCATGCAAACTGGATCCAGACTACTTATATATATGTTGTAGAGGTGGGATTAATGTCACTTTTACCATCTGAAAGTTAGATAATGAATCGCAAATAGTCAGGTAGGCTCCTTAGCTGTATCAATAGGCAAAGGCAAAGCATTTCATAGTGTGATTCATCCAAAGCTAAGGTAGGTGACTAAGAGAAGGGAAGCATATCTCCTTCAAAGTGTGCTCATCTCTGCTCTAGAGAGTGCAAGTGACTCGCTCACATGGTGGATCCCACCATAGCAAATGGCATGTTATTTTTGCCACAAGATCACTGCCTTAGTGCTTACTAAATCTTACTTTTCAGTATCTTCTCTTTTTATCCTTTCCCTATTATGTGTAGGCCTTTGCATTCTTGCATTATTTTACTGTGTGCTATTGAATATAGCATAGAACACAGAACCTTTAATTTTCAGTGGGACTTTCTAAGTGCTCAGGTATAGCATTTGTTAGCTCTTGACAAACACTGATTAATATCTTCAAAGATCTGTCACAAAAAGAGGCAATATTCTTATGACTTCTTTTTGCAAAGGAGGAATGAAAGCAGCAGGATTAGAACCACTGAAAGCTTCCCTGCACTTTGGGTGTGCACGAACTGATTTTTCACTGCTTACAGCACTATATATCGTTTTGGAAGTGCAAGACACAGTTTGGTGTGACCTGGATTGCAGCTGTGAGAGCCTACTGCCTTCTGCAAACCATGCTTCCCCAGGCCCCGTGTTTGCCACTATGAAAAACGAAAAGCTTTTATTCCAGTTAACACTTATATTAGCAGCTTTATTCCGGGACATGTGCCACTCTGGAGTGCCTCGAATAATGCCACTTGAGTTTACATGGTTGCCCCACAGTCTGTAAGGTATCATTCATCCAATTTAACTGTAAAAGCATTCTTTCTGTCACTGCAGACCCATTTTAATCCAGATTCTGCAATGTTGGTGCTGCAATGAAGGCAGCTGAGCCTTAGCAGAGAGCAGCCCCCTCCATTGCACAGTCATAACAAACCGCACAGGCCTTTCTTTGCCCCAGGTAGAGAGAGAGTCCTGAGGGGAAACCGTCAGGTCATTAAAAGAGCTTATAATAATACTCAGAAGGAGGTTGGAGTAAGGTTTCACAAGCAAATTGAATTTACTTTTTCATTCTTGATTTTGTAAATGTAGGTTTCTTCTAAAAATTTCAAAATATTGCCATACAGTATTTTGAAAAAGCAACTGGGAGAGAAGAGGTGTCTCTGAGTAAAAGCTCTGACTGGGTCTTCAACAGTGCCAGGCACTTTATTTGGCAGATCTCCATCAGCCAAGCTCACATTCTAGGTGGTGGCAATACTCTCATCTGCTGGGCACTAGAGGGGGATGGATACACATGCTTTGCTGGTGGATTTTGCAACTGAAGAAATTGTTTCTGCTTCTGGTTTCAGTTCCAGAAGCTGAAGGAAGTGGTGACAAACCTTCCTCGCCTCGTTTTTTGTTTGTTTTTTGTTTGTTTGGTTGGCTGGTTGGTTGGGGGGGGCGGTATGGGGAATTTTCCCTTATCTTCCTCTTCCCTTATGTTCATTTCTGTCTCTGCTTCTCCATTCCAATGCATTATTTCCCTTGACTTCGGTAGGCTGTCTTGTGCTGTGCCTTGTGCTGTACCTTTCCTCCTTCCAGAGAGAGCTCCTGCTTTTGCTCCTAGCCTCTGTTCACAGTCCCTCACCTCTCCTGTTCCTGAATGCTTCTTGCACCTTCACAGCCTCCACCTTCATATGCAGCTTAATTACATTAGATACAGATTCTTACTCTGTCCTCAGCAAGATGGTGGTAGCTCAGCCCCTTTGAACATGACAACAAGCAAATGATTATTAACATTCATGCTCTCTTGTGAGCAGGTCTGTGAGATGGGGAAAGTTTGGTTACATAGAACTTTAGCTCAAGGTTGTTGAGTTTTTTAATTGCATATGTACTAAAGAAGCTGTATTTTGTTGAAGGGCTGAATCTTGTATTCAGAGCACAATGAGTATCAGATCTTGTGGGAGTTCCCTTTGAAGCCTAGTATTTGCCTTCACAGTAGAAGGTAATGCCATCTTGAAAAGACAAGATGTTGACCATGATATTCACTGTGGAACACCAGGCATTCTTTTCAGACAGCTGGTTACATAGACACCCATCAGGCTAAAAGAGTAGGCAGCAAATATAGCATTGTCTTCTAGGTGAGCCAAGCCATGGGAACTTGTTGGCATTGTGCCCTCCCATTCAAACAAAGTTGAATTGAAGCCATTGTATACTATGAAGATAAAGTCAAAGAACTTGAAGCAGATTTCGTAAGAAGTAAAGCTGTCAGCAGAGACTATCTGATGTGCTCTCAGTAGCCTAAAATTCAGGCTACTGAATCGTGAATGCTGTCTTGGGCCCAGGTTGTTGGTGAGTCACTGAGCAGACCTTTGGTTTATGAAGGTGAGATGGACACTACACAGAAATTAGGTTTATAAATAAGCTGCTTCTGTTACTCTCTCCTGCTTTTTTTGATCTTTCTTTTTGCTCCTGTCTCTAACCATCCATGAATATTTCTCATTTCACATGTTTTCTGTACTTTTTACCTCTATATAAATTCTTTACTGTTCCCACTGAGCTGAGGGTGTCTCTTCTCCTCTCTGCTCTCCTCACACCAGCAGTGGGAGCACGGAGATCAAAGCAAGGACCTTCTTCCAATTCTCATTGCAGAAGCTGCTGCATGTGCAAGCCCAGCTGGTCTGCTCTGGCAGCCCTGGCCTGCGCTGCACTGTCACCTGTGCAAGTGAAGCATTTGTAGTGGCCAAAAGGTAGAAGCTGTTAGGACTTGGGAGGTGTTTGAGAGAGAGAAACTGATATATCTACTACTATATGATATTGTTGATGCTGAATCTACAAATACAACTTTTGGATGTATACTGCTTGGGTAAATCTTAAAAAGAACAGACAAAAAGCAAATCTCTGGAACTAACGTTTCTATTCGGTAACACAAAAAACTAACCATGGAATATCCTGTTATCACACACCACTTGATCTGTGGCAGTACTGTTGAACCGTTTTAACAAAACCAGCTGAAAACTGCCAGCCTGAAGACTTTCCATAGAAAACATGAGTCCAAAAAGGTTAATTTCTGGAAGGTTTGGTTATTTTGTAGTGTAGGAATGTGAGTTGCATTTACTGTAGAGGTTGTTACTTCCATGATTCTGGGGGCTTAGTTAGTGTGTCTTGTTTGGGGTTTACTTTTTACCCTTATTTTTACAATTTATTCCTTAGTTACCAAAGTGGGGGAAAAAATGTGTGGTATTTAGCCAAAACTGGTAGGTAGTAAACTACTTATTATTTAAACTTCTTTTTTTCTTGCCTTACTTTCTTTTAAAGTCCTTTGAACATCCATCTCTGTATGTAAATGTGTGTTGATGTGTACGTGTATGTACGTGAGTTCTTTTTCTTAAGATTTTTAGCTTGACTTTCTGAGGAAGATTAAGCTATCATACTCTTTGTCCTCCTGTGTGTCTACCTGCCTATCAGTCCCCATTTGGTGAATTTGAGCCCTCTTGCCAAACAAAACTAGAAGAGAAGACACCCTTACTGAAAAAAAAAAAAAAAAAATCAGAAATTAATTCCTCAAAGTGTTATGGAAACCACTGGGAGAGAAACAGGACAGGAAGGAGATACAAATATGTTCCCTTACTGCAGCTAAATTATAAGCTCAGTGGTTTTTTTTATCCTGGCAGGTCAGCACACACTTAGCTTGGCACCAACCCCAACGTGTTGCTGACTCTTCTCCGGCCAGACAGATAGGAGAGAGCGAGATGTTGTGGGGCATGCCATAACAGACTTGGAGATGGAGACGTGGGACTCTTGCAGTGAGAGATAGAGGAACAGATTGTACACATCTGTAGGAAACCATATTTCATCATTTCTGCTGTCCAAGGAACATCTGCCATCTGTTTGGAGGGAAATAAGGGTAATAAAAGGGTGCAGGAAGGGCTAAAGGGGAAAGGTCTTACATATGTAGGAAACTGGGCTACATTAGTTCTGCTGCTTATGGCATAACACAGTAGCTTTAAGCCTTTGATATTCCCATCCTGGAAAGAATCCTGAACAACAGCTTTTGTCTAGTAAACAAATTTTTGAATCACATTGTTCCATTTCTTACTCAGGGAAGGACTTTGTGAATAATGGGGGAGGAATTTAATGCCCACAGTTTACTGCAAGACTTAAACAATGAACCTGTAAAAAAGCAGTTACTAAGGAGAAGATCCATCAAGCAATTACAGCCAAGGACCAGAGTTCTCAGTGGAACAGAAAATGGGTTGCAATCAGGGAATGACATGCCAGGAAAAGGAAGGATTTATACTGCTTTTGCCACTGATCAGTCTTTTATGTATCTATGCATCTTCAATTGGTGAAACACTCAATAAAATTTAACACTGCTCTTTTTCCTGCAAGCAAAAACTTCTGGAAAGCCAAAAGCATATAGTATAAACAGCTATAAAAATAATCACTAGATATAATATGGTTGAACCTAGTGCAACTGGGGAGTACGCTGATGCTCCTAGACAGTGTTTGATTATGTTATACTAAAGGTTTTTGAAAGCACACAGAATCATGAAATGCCTTTTTTTCTCTGCTTTTAATTCTAAAATGTTACAAAATTACTTCATCACACACAAAAATATACGTGGCTTACAAAGATGCACCAATAATTTGTTTGAAATGTGTTTGGCTCATAAAATCCTCTCATCTCTTCAAAAATAGTTATTTGAGAGCACAGATGTCATCTGTTTTCAAAGCCAGTCTGGCTTTATATATAGGGTTTCTAGAAGTAATACATTTAGGGTGGCCTCTCCTAGGATGGGCCTGAAGAAGAAGAGCTCTTCAATAGCATCTGCATCAATGTTTTGAAGAGAGGCGATTAGCTGAAGAATCCAAGCAAACCTGCCTAGGTTTCTATGGAACATTGTTGAGATAAACTCCATCAAGGCTTGCTGAGCTTCCTGCTGTAGTGTTTGACATTTTAGAACATGGCATCCTGTCAAAACAAAAAGTAAAATAATAAATCTTGAGTCAACAGTTTTGTTGTGTTCCCTTCATAATGATGGGTGTCTGGCTTTCTAGCTTATAGTACTAATTTCTCTAGAAAACAATAAAAAATTTCTAAACATACTTTTTGGAAAAAGAAAAAATGCGTAGTTCAACAATTTGAGGGAACATTGAGCAGCATTGTAAGCACGTTGGATTCTAGCCCATTACATTAAATCCAGCTTTGAAATGGTAATAGAAGGTAACTTTGACTCAGTACAAATAAAGAAGCAGCTTTATAGTGTTTTCTACCCACCAAATGATGCTGAGATCATAATCTGAGTAGGTGGAAACATTCCAGCTCTAATCTAAAATAGGTAGGTAACATCAGGAAGACGGAGGCAGCGGTTTGGAACACCAAGCATACTAGCAGTCTGAAGACATAAGTTTCCAGTCTACCCAGCCCCATCTCCCTCCTTTTGTTGCCTCTGCTTGCCATAATAAACTGGGACACCATGGTTCACCTTGTTATCTAGATATCTTCATTTACAGGCTGAATAGAGCATAAAGGTTCTCTGTGAGAGGTATCATGACACACAGGAGTAGGATAGATAATTCTATTTCCTGGTTTTTTACTCCCTTTCCTCAGCTATTTTTGAAGAGGAAGAGGTCTCTGCCCTATGAAGTCATGGTCTTGAGCCTCAAACACATACCTCCCGTAGCACGTGACTTCAAACCTGCTGGCTTACTGGGGGTCTTTGTGGGTGCCAAATCTCAGTTCAAAGGACACCCCATGTTTATCCTTTGCTTCTGCTGGGATTGCTTTGTCATGTAGCTCTCAGCAACCTCTTGCCTCTTGTCCTCACCACCTGAGGATAACACCATCTTTTCTTTCCTAAAATTGCCGCAGCCTGGACAGAGGTAGCATGAAACCCCAAGTTTTGATTTCTGCCTCTCCTGCCTCCTATGTCTTATTTTAAGCTTTCTCCCAACACACACTCCAGGCCTGTTTAGCATCTTTTACAGTGACTGACTACACACTTTCCTGGGATGAGACCTGAACAGCTTAGACCAGGGAGGGTTTCACACGGGATCATTTGTTTAAGTGTGGGAAGCTCTGCCTTCTTGCCTAGTGCCCTGTACTAGGGCAAACCCAATTTAATTGGGTTTTGTTCAGTCTGTGGATGGCTGCCCTTTGTCAGTCTTCAGCAGTTCTCTTCTCCCTAGACATCACTGCTAGAGAAGAAGCCTAAGCAAAACCTGAAACCAGGCTAACCAGAAATTAAGGATTTGGAAAAGTCATCTTCACCTCCAGGATTACCACCAGCTGCAAGCTGTGAGGATGATTCCAAGTGTTGTTAAGATTTTTCATGGACATTGTCAGGATTTTGTATATTCAGGATGAAATAGCAATTGCCTATATCCCTTCAAATTTGCTTAATTTCCCCATTTGGTCTCCTTTTATATGTAATCAAGCACGAGTTTTAGTTTACAAATTATGAGAAACTTCTTATTCTGATATCTGTTGTAATAATATTCAGTTAAACAGATGCTTTCAGCTGAACTGTAAATCTCTTAAGACTGTCTTTTTTAACAGAAGTCCTGCCACAGCCTTGATGGAGTTATATATATATGTGTGTATTATAATATATATTTGTGTATATATATATTATATATATATATAATATATGTATTATAATATATATTTTTTATATTTTTTATATATATATATGTATAGGTAACTCCATAAATACATATATATATGATACTGATACAATAGCAGCACTGTTTTTCATTATTTCCATGGACTCTTCACCCATACACACTTTGACCTCTCCGAAGCCACCTCGCCAAAGCACCCCTGCGAAGAGCAGGGATGGCAATATGTTCTGGAGCATCTGGATTCCATTGAAGCAAGGCTGCTGCTTTCCCCTCAGGTGCTGGGTGCATGCTTTCTCCTTCACAGGTTCTTGCTGGCCCAGATGTGGTCAATCACTAACCCAGACACAGCCTTACTTACAGAAGTACTGTGCAGACTGTGCTTTAGTGGGAGGACCCATGTTCCATGCTGCCTGCCAACCTGTCCCCAAAGGGATTTTTTTTTAATGATAGTAATCACAATCTCTATGCCACAAGAGATCACTTAGGGCACAAGCAAAGCTCAGTCATTCTTGTTTGTCATGTTTCTTGCCCAAGCACTGGCCTATCTGTGCTGCTCCAGATGCATTTCTGGGTGCCCTGTTGAACACCAACTCACAGTCCAGCTCTGGACTGCTCGGTACCTGGTCCTTCCTCTTTGCCTCAGCCAGTTTTAGTGGTCCTAAGAGGAATATAGCATACAGGGTGAGAGCCCACAAGAGGTACTTGGAGTACCTCCAGTATGATCCAGGAGAAAGGTTTTAGCACTGTCACTGCTGGTGGCTGCCTGAAATCCTCTTAGAACCAAGGCCTGCAAAGTATTAAGAATTGGCCAAACATCAAGTCAAAACTAAGAGGGCAGCTGAAAATGTGCTGCATGTTTGTAAAAAACATTTTCTGAGTTTGGTGGGAAGTGTTCAAAAGCTATTAAAGATAGTAATTGTGAAACAACAGCTGTACAGATTTATTTGCAGTAAAACAGGTAGAGAAAGGGCAGTTTGGGCTGTGTATTAAGCCCCGAATACCTGTTTCAGCCTAGAGTTAAACTGTGACTCTTTGTTTCATCTGGAGTCAATCTTGACTTAACTGAAGTCCTCCCAGCCACCTTCTCAGCCTGTGGATAATAAATAAGTCATCCCACCTAAGAACTAGGGAGTCCCTCTGAAATTCTGGATGGTGTCTGCAGACAGCATGAAGGGTGTCTGGGCCTCTCATATGGCACCCCAGGGAAGCAGCAGGCGTTAGAAGGCATGAATCCAGAACAAAACACTGTTTCTGCTGCTTTCTCCTTAAGTGACAATTACATTTTATCCACAGAGATAATAAAAATGCCTGCTAGTTAAACTGTGTAAGGCGGATTTCTCCTCTTACCATCATCTTGGATATAACCAGTGGTTTCTTTCAGCCTGATTTTATTGTGAAAACCTGAGAAAATAACTTGCACTGAAACCAACTCCACTGGGCTGATGCTGCGGCACAGACACACAAGACAATACCAAACATCTGGATGACATTACATCTCAAGAATCAGAACTTGAATCCTACTGGAAACAAATATAAAGTCACTACAGCCTTTGACCAGCCTATAAACCATTCACCACAAGAAATATCATGGAATAACTGAAGCATTCAAGTATCCTTTTGGGGCAGTCCCAAGTATAGCACACTGCTGACAGTGCAGCCAACAGCAGTGATTGCTGTGGAAGGAGTCAGGGGTCTGAGCCAGAGCAGACTGGAGTCAATAAGTCTTTCCATTTACTTTAGTGGACTTAGAGCTCAGCTTTTAATGACTCACACACTCCATGGTGCTGACCTAGTCAACCTTCTTTCCTAAAGAGGCTGAACTTGGCACCAGGAGGGAGAGGATTCAATCACTAGTCTGAGTTTGCTCCATGACTGCTGGCCCGGGCTTTGAATGTAGAGATACTAAGGGATAAATACATTTTTTAAAATCTGTGCAACCTCAATGCAGTATCCTTTTGCCTCACTGATGAAAATCAGATGATATAGATTATTATATCTTCTCCAGTGTTCTTGCTACAGAGGAGCTCTTTGTTAAGATACTTGTAATACCCACATCATGTACCCATGTACCATCTCTCCTTTCCTATACTGTGAGTGAGGCTGCTGTATTACCTTTGAACTGGAAATCAGATTGAAGTGACCCGGTTAATTCTTTAGGACTTAAAATGTATCTAATCGAAGCTCTTCTTTGTTACAGTGGGTGACCTACTGCACATATCCAAGGAACCTAAATAAACTACGTTAGGCAGAAAATCATTAAATTGTGGGATATAGACTTCTGACAACATTAAATATAGTCATAGAAAAGACTAAGACTAAAACTAAACACTTGGGTTTTGAAATTGCTAAATGCCCTTCTAGGCATATAATTATCTGTGCAATTTCCAGGAGGACTTACCAGAATTGAACAGAATAATTCCTTTAAGATAGGCATATTCTTTCACACTTATGTTCAGGTCCCAGAATTTCCACAATAAATTCTTCATCTTCTGAACTTCTACTAAAGATGTTCCCAGCGACGAGCTGCCCAGTTCATTGCTAGCAGTCCAAGACTGATTGAGGAGGATTTTTTTCAATAAACTAGGGGCTGAAATCTCTCTCAGGTCAAAATCCACTTCTTCCTGTGCTATGCTCAGGACAAGAAGAGGGGCCCAGTTCTGCTGTATGAGGACAAGCTGATCCTCCCAAGGCACATGATAAAAAGAAGTCAAGTTACTAATAAAAGATAAAGTCTTCAAGAGCACTTCAGAAGCTCTCCTGCATGTAGCTTCTGGCGTTTTCAGGACAACTCTTCTCCTGTCTGTACCTTTCTTCCCGTGAAGCAGTGGGGACTGCGATACTGCTGGTGCCACTTGGCCTCACTTTCGTGCTCCTTGTGAAGGATCTGGTACAGGCTGCTCTTAGCATGGTGTGTCTCACACTGACATTTCCCAAACTGCCCATCTGGGATCTCGGTAGCCACAGAGCCAGAGTTCCCTGTGACAGGAAACAGTGCGCATGGAGCCATGCATCAACGGCGGGGAGGAGTGTTTCTGCCACGCAGTGAGGTACTGTGTGCTTTTTATATACACGAGCAGTTGAAAAGTAATATGACCCTGATCTGTAAAGTTACCTTGAACTTTATCTGCACCAGTCCGTTTTGAAGGAGGCAAGGCTGCAGGCTGCCGGTGTCACGCGGGATGGCCATAGCACCCGGGGAACAGGAGGGCTCGCGCTCGCCGGCGGCACAGCCGCTGCTCACCGCCGTGCCCCGGTGCGGGCAGGCTGTGCCAGGCCTTCTGACACCATGACAGTGGCTCCGTGCTCCTGCCACCACCAGCAGCATTTTTGCAAAGGCCCCGCTATATAGCACGTACAACCTGCCCCTGAGGGGAAGCTCAGGGAAAATTATGGCACCGTAAAGTGAAGAAGGAACAAGCTGTCTGTATTTTTATTGATCACTGACCCTGCTCACTAGCTAATGCTCTGGAGTGCACAGAAATACATTTGAACTTATGAATGATGCTGTGGTAGCAGTCCCTTGAGTAGACGCTTTTATTTCTTGTTAAAAGGAGCCTCCTGAAGGCACTGCAGATGCCTACCATTGCTTTTCACAGAGCATTTCACAGTGTTCATTCTTTACACTGTAGCTAACAGGATGTGACGCCTATGTCAAGGAGCTCACAGGTCAAAGTCCTGAGGATGGAAATCCCTTGTATAGGAATTATTTCACATTCCTGGGAGATTTGAGAGAAACTTCAGAGCAAGTCAGTTGCTATAGCTCATGACAGTGCTATCTCCTGCAGTTCACATACAGTCATTTCAAACACAGAACATGCGGACTTCTCCCAGACTTGCTGTGTAATTAAATATTTTTCATACAAGCTGTGGAAAGAAAACTGATGAAGAAAGAGAGCAAAATGGCAATTTTTATCGTTGTATGTGTGATCTTTTAAAGCAAAGCAAGAGCTGAACAGTAGAATTGTCAGGACTCTTCAGTAAGCATCAGGGAATACTAAGTAGCAGGAATGCAAGGAACTCAGCAAGAAGAAATTGATACTTCAAGTTTCTGTTACTTCTTACTTTCTTGTTTGCTCTAATAAAGGGGAAGAAGTACTAATTTTTTTCACCAAGTATAATATTTATGCATTCCTACCATCTGGACTCTTGGCATGTCTTAACAACAAATAAACATTAAAAACAACAGCTCCAAGAACTACTTCTGTTAGATACACAAGCCTTAGCTGTGTAAAGGCCATCCCATCAGATGCATAACCACAAATTTGTCCTTTGCTACAACTGTTTTTTTCACGCTGGGCCATCTTAAAATTTCCATTTATTTATCTCTCCATAATATTTATGTTGCAAAATTTTCCCCCTCTGAGGATATAAAAAGTGGAGGAAGAGATGACTGCTGCAAAGTTAGGCAATCTAGAAGTGTAGTGCTGCTGAAGTGCAACTACAACTAACTGCAGTGAAGGTCAAGGGGCCCCAGAGCACCGAACACCTGATGGGATTTGCTTGCCCACCTCTCCATCCATTTAGTATCTCTCTACTGTTGTCCACTGCTGGGGTATCAAAGAGGTTATCAAATTAGCTAAATGGCACAGCAACAGAGAAGTCCCCAGAAAGTCCCATTCTCATTATTCTCACTGTAAAATTCTAACTGGGTTAAGTAAGGTTCAGCGGAATGAACTCCAGTTACAGGGCTAGTGCCACCCAAGGTTCTGCATGAGGTACATAGATTGAGTAATGCCTGTACTAGAAAGAGACACTGAGCTTGCTAAAATCATTCTTACACAGAATTTGGTTGTGAAAAGAAGTTCTGTCTCCTAATTGCTGGTGGACATGGTGGTGTTTCAATAATCCTGGTAGGAGAGTGAGCATTGATAAACCTAACTCCTCCACTCCAAGGAAAAAATTTTTTTACTTCAGCTGAAATCAGCACCATTTCACAGTTCACCATCATTTCACCCCCATGGTTCATGACATCATTTCACAGTTACTATTAATTGTGCTTATTAAATTTCTACTCCAGATTAAATTGGTTCCTTTCCCAGTTTTTGTTTTTCTGAGATCTGCATCCGTCATATGCGGAGTCCTGATGTAAGTAACATATGGTATTGGCTATCATAACTGATTTCGTTTGATTGTGTATAGTTCTAAGAGGCAGAAGCAAATTATATTTTCTAACAGGAATTCCTGCTATATTATAATATCTTTATGACTGTTCAACAGAAATACGGAGTAAAGGTTACTGCCTCAGTGCAACTGCTAAGGACATATCATCAGCTTTTTCTGAGAGAACGATTACTTAGAATTATGGGTCAATATTGAATTGCACGTGGAACTGATCCTGGTGGTCCTGATTCAGAACTGAACAGTCTGAACTGAACTCTGTGTGACCTGATTTTCTCAAATTTAGAGGACCAGCAGCTGAATTTAGCTCTATGCTCATAAATTAGACAATAGTTATTTTTTCTTTCTAAATCTTACGTGTAGAATGGTTGAAGCCACATGCACTTAGATATCAAGCCTCTACAGTCTTCTTGCTACAGTAGCAATGATTCTTACCTTCAAATGTTAAGAAAATATAGTATCAAACCCCCAGTTTTGTGAGATGAGAAATCCCCATGGACTTTCATCTCTTTTAGCTGTTTCTAGCATGATGGTTTGAGAACAGCAAGACACATTCATATCAGTGTTGTTTCTGCTGGTTTGCATTTATAGAATTTTTCAGTCAACAGAGCACATGCACCCACTCACCACAGTCCTCACCGCCACCACATTCTCTCTGTAACCATCAGAATTTTCCTCAGGCACAAGTGCCACCATTTGGACAACAAAAAATTGTATATTAAATCCACACACAAAATTGCTACAGACAGCTCTTGGATATTCACACTATTGCTGAGAACTGTCCAGCTCCAAGCAAGGCTGCCATCTCCATCTCTCCCATCAGTAATGTTGTTTTATCATTCCTGTTACAGGTAATATAATACTTAATATAGCTCTACATCTTTGTTGTTTGGGTGATTCACACATGGTGCAACTTTTTCCTAAAATCCCTGGATTTCTCAGGTTTGCAAAAACTGCCTGCTAGGCGTAGATAATCCCAGGCTTCTACTCTCTTTGACCAGTGTGTGTGTGCCAGCAGGGACAGTGTAATGAAGTCAGCAGGAGCTAAGGGATATTTTTTACTATTAAATATCCAGAAACTTAGGGGCATTCTTAAATATTCTATTGGGTCCAAAAGTATAAGGCATGTAGTATTTTTGTCTCTTAGCCCATAGCCTTAATTCCCCTAATAGAATACTTGGAAGGCTGGAGAGACTTGTCAGATAATATAGGAGCTTAAGTAGCTATCTCATCCTTGCAGTAGCCAAACATGGGTGCTTCAGGAAGAGTGTTAGATATATACCATTCTTCTCATGAGTACTTTGCCTGCCTTCAATCATTTGCAGCTTAGGGAATTCCTGAACTAGAGTGATTTTATGCTTTTAATAACTCTCAATTAAATATTATCCTATGATCTTATTCAGTCTGCTCCTGAACCCACATGAACATTCACATCAGCCTATGTCAAGGAGCTCTGTGGATGCTTTCCTAGGAAGCTGACAGCAGCCTTTTTGAGGTCATCCTGTCACACCAGTCTGATACATGCACGTATTCCTTGATTCAGTGATCTCTTATCTCTCTGGTCTCCCATACAAACATTTAATTGGCCTATAAACATCCACATGACTTCAGAACATGATTTTCTCTAGGAGTTTTATACATGTTGTGTTCTGGGAGGGGTTGAATGAATTTTGTGTCACTTGTTGTTTTGAGGACACCTGACTTGACCAACAGCCTTAATGATGACAAAAGGAGCCAGTAATAAAATCAATGTCTTTCTAGAAGAGTTCCATCTTCTCCTTCTCCCACGGTGTGCATCACCTTTCTTGAACAATAAAAGTATTCGTTTCTCAGCTAGAGAAACTGAGAGCTGCCGTTCAGACTGCCTATTTAGGCGAGGCAGATAGTGGCAAGTATCCCCAAGTTAAAGCCTGCTCAGTTTTAAAACAAGCTCTGAAAGCATCTTTAACTTTTTGCAGGTGCTGGTCACTGTCTGAAGATGGGAGAGTGTTTGTCTTCATTTTAGACCAAGGACATTTTGTTAGAGACTTTATGCTGCTCAGCCATACTTCAACTGTTGCAAATGTAAATGCAAACACAGGCCATCTGGAGCTATAACTAAATCTAAGTCTAAAATATTAGTACAGAAAGTAAATAATCATCTCAGTAATGCTTCTCAGGCAGAAGATGGGGCAACACAGGACCATATTTCTTAAGTCTCCAGCTTCTAATAAATCTAAAGCAGCAATGGATTTCCATGTATGCGAATGCATAAATAAACCCAGAAGGGCTTTCATGGTTTTTTAAAACAAAGAAAGAAAACCCCGGCTGGACAAGTAAACTCTTTCCATTATTTTTGAACAGTTTTATCCTACCTCTGAGTAACAAGGTGTCAGAGCCTTCATCATCTGAAAGCCCAGGCAGTCATAATGTTGCAGTTGCAGCAGAGCTGCACAAGCCATTGCAGATGTGCTGCTACTTGGACTATCTCTCCCTTAGTTAAAGGTAAGAGTTTGTTTTAAGCAGTGTATGGAAAGGGGCATGGATCTGGAGACATGAGTAGGTTTTAAGCTGCCCAACAGCAATCATTTACTTTCTTCATACTAGAAAAAATGGTGAATTTTTATAAGGGTAAATTGACAAATTTTTATAAGGGCACACCTTGGTGGGAGTGGGATGTAGAGGTTATAAAACAAACCAGAAATGACCTCGTACCAGATTGTGCCATTTTTCTATGGCTACCCCACCAAGGAGACAGTGTTTGTACAGTCACTCTTATCAGCACTGGGGCAGGCACCATCTGTCATTTTAAATAGAGAGAGAGATACCACTTATTATTGCTTAGCAAGTGGAAAATGCTGAAAAGCAAGGTAGGAAATAGGCAGTTTTGAAAAAAACAAAGTTAAAAAA